CATTAATTTGCATTTACCTACATGTTCCTCCTTTATCTCATTTCCATGCCCATCTTTTCTTCTGAATAACTGTAGGCAGTGCAACTTTTGATTTTTTTTCAACTTTACTTGTGATTTTTCAGCTTCTCATTTCAATTTACATATTCAGTTGAAACTACTTTAGTTTTCAAATTTTGATTCCCCCCAGGTTAGTGACATGTAGTACAATACTGTGGTGTGAGCCACAGCTATGATCAGCCACATAATCATCCACATAAACAACTGATACTGTAGGGTGTAAATAATACTGTATAAATAACCTATGATATTTGGCAATCAAATATATTAAATGCACCCTAGATTAATGATACTTTCAACTTTGATGAGTTTATATAAACATAATTTTGTCGTAAGTCAGGACATAGGTACATATTTTTATGTGCTTATTCATTGTGGTCAAATTATTTTGTTGTATACATATGAATGGATCTGCCAAAATATATAGACTAGTTTTGTACACTTTTAAATTTAAGATATTTTCAGCTCTGTTTTTTTAAATTGAGTTTATTGGTACATTTTAGGTATACAGTATAGTTACATTCATTATTGGGATCTTGTACCTTTACATGACAGGTCTTGGTTCTCATTTTTCCCCCTTGTCCCTGCCCTCCTCCCCTCCCCATTTACAAATACTTTTATTTCCATTTTTTCATTTTATCGTATTTTTTCTTTTCCCTTATTACCTTTCCCCTACCCTTCCCACTTTCCCTACAACTTTAGCCCTTTTCTTCCTATTTCACATTGTCAATTATCTCATGATATTTTCAGCTCTTAAAGATGTTTTCATTTTAAAACATGTTTTTCTACTTAACATTATGTTTCAAAGGTTTATTCATGTCATTCCATGATATAGTTTATTCATTTTAATTGCTTTACAAATTCTACTTTTTTGTTGTTGTTGTTTATTAAGACAAGGTCTCACTATGTAGTTGAGACTGACCTGGAACTCACTATGTAGACCAGGCTGGTCTTGAAGTCACAGCGATCCTCCTGCTTCATCCTCCCGAGTGCTGGGATTACAGTTGTGTGCCACCATGCCCAGCACAAATTCTACTTTGAAAACACATCAATATTTATCCATTTTCATTTGGATGTACATTGAATTGCTTCTTAACTTTTGCTATTATGATCTATGTTACTGTGAATATTTGGGTTCTGTTCCTGGTGTATACATACAGAATTTATCTAATATGTATACTAAGTAGTAGAAATGCTAGGTTCTAGAAGATACAAGTATTCAATTTTATAAGATAATACCAATTTGTTTTCTAAAGTTCTTCTAGAAAATTACTCTTGGAAGGAATAATTAAAATTACCACTTACTGTGTCTTTTTTGTTCTTTATTTTGTCAGATATTCTTTTTGGTGTAAATGGTTATATTATGATGTTACTTTGTGTTTATCATCATAATAAAGATTAGATATGTTTCCTAGGTGTAAATGGTTATATTATGATGTTACTTTGTATTTATCATCATAATAAAGATTAGATATGTTTCCTAGGCTTATCAGTGATATGTGCTTCTTTTATTATGAAAAATGTGTTCATATGTTTTACTTATACTTTCCTTTTGGTTTGTGGGTTTATTAAATCGTTTTTTTAAAATCTGGGTACTATTTCTTTTTCTCTATGTTGTGAATTTATTTTCTCTCAATTTGTGCTTTGTCCATTTGCTTTGCTTATTGAGATACAAGTGATAACTAATGCATAGTTGGAAATTTGTATATATCATTAGCACAATCAAGATAGTAAGTATATCTACACAGATAGAAAGGCTGTTTTTTCTATTGCTGAGCAGTATTGTAGGAATGTACTACAATTTGTTCATTCACTCACCTTCCAGGTTTTAATTTTAGCCCTTCTAATAAGTATGTGGTAGAACCTCACTGTGGTTTTAATTTTCATTTCTTTAGTGACTCATGATGTTGAATATCTTTTCGTGTGTTCATTTCTCATGTATTAATATCTTTAATCAAGCAACTGTTAAAATATTTTGCCAATTTTTATATTGCATTGTTTGGTTTCTTATAGTGTTTTGAGAGTTGTTGTATATTCTAGGCACACGTATTTTTTAATAAAATCAGATATATCATTTTCACAAGAAAATGATTCTATGTTAATAGTTATTTTACTTCAAAGTTTTGAAGTTATGTTACAGTCTTCTGTCTTCCATTGCTGCTATTGAAAAGGCTCGTGTATCCTTTCTCTGATTGCTTTAAGAGTTTCTCTTTGCCTTCAGTATTCTGCAGTTTCACTTTGATATGCCTGGTCTTTGGCATAGTTTTTATTTACTCTTTTTAGTATAAAATGTTAGTATGGGAAGATGTGGATTCACATTTTCATAAGTTTTAAAATTTTATTGCCATTATCCTTTAAATATCACCATCAGTTATTCTCTCTGTTTTCTCCTGAAGGACATGTATTAGAGAAATATAGGACTTTCTTTTCTATCCTTTATTTAGCCTAACATTGCTAACATTTCATAGCTGAATTACTGTAGAAAATAGGGCCAAGTTAGAGATAGGTCATCGGGAGGTTTACCTTTGGGGAGAGTACAGCTCTCTCTGGCTCTCTATCCAACTCACTCTGCATCCTGGCTGCCATGAATTAAGCAGCTTTGCACTACCTTATTGCACTATGATGTTTCTGCCTTGTTTGGCAATGCACCCTGCTAACCATGCATGAATCCACCAATTAATCCATTTATTAATTTAAACAATTATATTTTTGAGAAGTTACCTTATAATTTGAGACGTTACCTTGGTTTTTCCTCCTCCTTTCTGCCTGTTCACTTTTATTAGGTCCTTGTTATTTGCTTATCTTTGTGGTTGTAACTATTATTTCTTTAAATCTATCATATGTAACTCTTCTATATCTTACATCAGATAATTCTAAAACCAAAAATAACTAGGTACCTAAACTATTATTTTTTGTTTCTGCTAAATGTCATTCATAGTGATATTTCCTTTTTTGGTTGTGATAATAACTCACTTCTAGTACAAGAGGCCTAAACTAGAGTAGATTTCCTCTAGAAAATTTTTCCTTTTGCTTCAAGTAGTAGCTATGTTAGAGCCACTGACTAAATCATTTTAGTCTGTCTTCAGGGTCTTAGCTCAATGCAGTTCAAGGATCAGCTTCCTTACCTACTTGAAAGACTGAGGTCTAGTAGTCTACTGCAATACTGCCATTGCTGGATGCCTTCAGATGCTCCCACCCTTGTCTGCTATTTTCTGCCCGCTTTCATTATTCTAACCTCCTAATTGGTCTCAACTCAGCTGAGGTTGTGTGTGTGTGTGTGTGTGTGTGTGTGTGTACTAAACAAAATTCTTGAATGTTGCTGCTGTAATACACATAGTTCCCCATTATTGTGTCCAATGTTGAGTTTTCAGAACATTTAGTCTTCTTTAGTGTTGCAAGGAGATGTCCTCAAAAACACTTTTTCTTAAAATGTTACAACATCTAACTTTGTGGAATATTTAATTCTATTTATATCTTAAACCTACAATGTATGTATGAAAGCTTGTTCTCTAAAGATGTAGGGGAAGTGGGAAGGGTAGAGGAAAGGAAATAAAGGAAAAGAAAAAAATATGAGAAAATGAAAAAAGGGGAAAAAAAGCCTTTGTAAATAGTGAAGGGAGGAGGGGGTGAAGGGAGGGCAGAGACAAGGGGAAAAAATGAGAACCAAGACCTGTCATATAAAAGTACAAGATCCCAATGATGACTGTAACTGTGCTGTATCCCTAAAATGTAACAATAAACTCCGTGAGAAAAAAAAGTGATTGTTCAGTGCCTTTAAAAAGGCAACTTTGAAAATAAACTTTTATTTTAAAGAAGTTTTATACTTAAAGAAAAACCACACAAAAAAAGAAAAACTAAAAGTTGTACAGAGATTTCCCATAAATCTCACATTGTTTTCCTTATTATTAGCATGTTAAATTGGTATTGTTGCAGCCAATAATGATTTATCAGTGTGTTATTATGAACTGAAATCTATGTTTTATTCAAATTTCTTCAAGTTATATTAAATATTCTTTTTTGGTTTCAGAATCTCATCCAGAATAGCATGTTACATTTATTCATTATCTCTCCTTGAGCTTTCTAGACTGATAGTTTTTCAGAATTTTAAATAAATACTTCATGTTATATGTCTACCATTACATACCATAGAGAATATTTATCATCACTTTAGGGTTCACCTATTTAGTCTTCCTTCCTTCTCCCAGAACATCTGGCAACCACTGATTGTTTTTACTTTTTCCAGATGTGATATGAATGGATTATACAGTATGCATTGTTTTCAGATTGACTTATTTTGCTTGCCAATATGCATCAGTGTTTTATATTGTTTAATAGCTCATCCCTTATTGCTGAACAATATTTCACTATATGGATATACTAGTGTGTATCTCTTCACCTATTGAAGGTCATCTTGAATGCTTTTGGATTTTGCAATTATGAATAAGGGCTGTGTAGTCATTTTCCTGTTGCTGTGGAAAAAAACCCTGAAACTTAACAACTTAAAGGAGGAGAGGCACTGTATTTGGCTTGCAGTTTCCAGTGGGTTTTCTCCAATATCAGCTGACTCAAAGGCAGAAAAGGCAAGGGCCTGGTGGAGAACAGCTGCTCAACCCATGGCAGCCAGAAAGCAGAGAGAGAAGAGCCAGGGACAAGAATCACCATTCCTTGCCTTCAGTGATTTTCCCCTTCTAACTAGGCTCTATTAGACTTTGAGGACATTTTAGATTATAAAAACATGACAAGCTGCTATAAACATTGCCATGTAGGTTCAAAAGTCAGTTTTCAGGATTTCCTTTATTACGTTTGTTTCACCTTGCACTGCATATTTTTCAATTCTTTTAATCAGCAGTATTTTGCATATTGATATTATGTGTACATATGTACAGAAATTATTTAGGAGGTATTGTGTGATATTTGATTCTTTCCTTACATTTCCTTCACAGATATTCAAGAATTTTATGAGGTGACATTACTAAATTCTCAAAAAAGTTGCCAGCAGAAAATAGAAGAAGCCAATCGAGTTGTGCAGAAATGGGAAAAGACATCGATTCTTTCTCCGTGCCATGATAGCCTTCAAAAATCTGCAGAGGTATACTATTAAAGCTTACTAAAGCACTGAGTAATAGTAGAACGTACAGCAGAAAGTAGTGGTGGTGGTAATAATAGTAGTAATTCTTAAGAACAAGTGGTAAAATTAATAATAGAAATGTAGTAACTCCACACTCTGCGTAATTTTCTCATATGAAAATCTAGATTTTGCTGAGATCTGTGATGGGACATGGGAAGGACAGATTCTTTTTCTTGTTCTTGACACAATCCTTTACCTTATAAGATTGAGGTCTTTTATGAATATTGTCATAGTTTGAATTCGCTCAGATTTAAGAATTCTATGTGTAATGGAGGATTGGTGATGGATAGTGGCATTGGAAAGGATAGTCTAATGTGATTTCCATGGCATGGACACTTATCCTCGGGTATGAATAAAATGGGGAGTCAGAACAAAATAATAGTACTATTGCTTCCATTTTTATTATCTTTGAATTGCTTTACATTTAAAAATTTAAATATCTAATATTTTGGTAATTTATAACATATATTAAATTACATTGATAACAATGTACATGCATTTCAAATGTATATAAATCTTTTAGAGTTGTATACTCAAACAATTTTTATAAATAGTTGTATGGAGTCAAAAAACTTGGAAACTACTGTTGGAATTAACAATTAGCAAAAGGTAAGGCAAGTTGAGGGTTCTTACATTCATAGCTAAGGACAACAGTAGAGGCAGGGGAAAATCAATGATGAAGTGGCTATCAAAATGTGAAGGGAGGTCTCTCTCTCTCTCTCTCTCTCTCTCTCACACACACACACACACACACACACACACACAAAACTGCCAAGTTTAGTTTAGGGTTGTATAGCCAATGCCGTGACTTGGAATCTACTTGGAATTTTAATGCCACTCAATGATTACGTTTTTACTAAATTTCTGAATTAAGAGTGAAGCCTCTTAATATTTTCTGTCTTGTTCAGAATTGATGTGGAAATGAGCTAGAACTGAGCTTAATGGTATCTGTATTTACTTGAATAAAAAGTTAATAGTGATAATAATTTGTCAATAGATATCAAGTAGATGAAGTTATACTTAAAAGCACAAAAATAAATATCATCCTAATTTCAGTATTTAAAAGTAATTATTTGGATCGTTTTAGTCCTTTTATTTTTGTACAAATATATGTGTATTAAATAAAGACACTAACATGTAGGGTCTTTCAAATTTAATGTTATACTAATAGTAATTAATTTTATTAAGTATTTTAAAATTATTCTCATGACTATATATTACTCCATCACTTGGAACTTACTTAGTTTTCCATTCAACATTTAGTCCATCTCAAATTTTCTGCTAGGAATAATGGTGTAAGAGATATTCATAAATATAAACCATGTTTTGGTGATTGTTTCATTAGGGTTGATTGTAGGGATGATTGGATCCAAGGGTATTGATATTTTTAAGACTCACTAAAGGTTGACAAAATGCTTTGCAGATAGGTGCTATTAGTAGTAGCAGTGTTTGAAAAGGCTAATCTGCCTATAGTCAAATTACATGATACATAATTTAAAATATCTGGTCAAACTAATAAAATTTTTGGCTTAATCTTTTATATAAAAATTATTTGTTCCCTATTGATCTGAGCTACTGGTTATCTACAACTCTTTTTGTGATTCATTAAAGATATTTGTCCATTTTGTAAAGTGGTGCTAGAATTTTTCTGTTTTGTAAGAACATTTTATTTAGGAAATATACCATCATATTATCATAATTGTTATGATAATAACAATTATGATGACATTAAAGCATTTTGAATTTTTATGTGATAACATATTTTTTTGTTCTTTCTTGCTGAGTTTAGTAATCTTGCAAGATTAGTTAAGTAGTCTCCTATATTTTTCTTAACTTTTATTGCCTTGACATTTCCGTTTTATAATTTTCAAACATTTTAATTCAATTTCTAGATGCATATATATATATATACTACATAGTATATACACATATATACAGTTTTGCATATATGCATAAAAGTTGAAATGCATATTTTATTCTAAATGAAGTTCTTTAAATGTTTTTTCATTTGTTAATGTTTCCTCTTAATTCCTGCTTGTACTGCATCTGCTCTTCCCTCTCCACATACAAGGTAACCCAAGTTAACAATGTAATGTGTTTCTTCCCTTTACAGGCACATGATATGTATTCATATATAAATTCTATACACTTACATATGTATTTTTTAGATACATATGCATACTGGAGCATGTACACAAAATTTGGGGAAGTCATTATTTCTAAAAAACAGTTCATATTATGTGAATGTTTTTTCAAGTGTCTGTTATAGCTTTAATTGGTTCTTCTGATGAGTATATAATTTCATCGTGTATGTATGTCATAATTTATATAATCACTCTTCTCTTGGTGGGAATTCTGTCTCCATTTTTCTGTCACTATGATTTATGCTGCAATCATCCTTATCCAAGCTAACTCATATTTTTGTTCTGTAAATAAATTCTCAGGGGTGGCATTATGGGCTCTGCATACTTTTAATGTGAATAACTTTTTTCAGGCTTATTTTGATTTTCACATTTTCACTGCAACACAGTGTAGTTTTTAACCTCACATCCATGCCAGCAATATATTTTACAGCTCTTCATTTGACCAGTTTAATAGGCATCATAATTTTTCATTTAATTTCTAGTTCCCAGGTGATTAAATTTGAGCATTGTTTCATTTATCTATTGACAAATTTAAATTTATTCTTATACAAATTTATTTATATTCTTAACTAATTTTTTATTGAATGTCCTTGTCCTTTCATATTTTAAAAAATTTGATTTATATGATCTTATACGAGATTTCCTTATGGACAACAATTTTGGATGAACTGATGATATGTAGTGCCTTTGTTTTTTTTTGATTAGCATATTATCTTCAAATATATGAAGAAGAGAAAACAATTTTAAAGTTAGAGTGTTTACTAGTGTTTATATGAATATTATTTGACTTAATCCATACAAATTAGAGCTTTTAATTGGTTTGCGAACAGGTATCTGCAAAATAAGGATAAATGCTGAGGAAAAAAAAATCCAATAAATATTAGACTTTTTGATACTCATTTGTTTTTTTATTGTTAAAATTAGTGTAAAAACCCAGAGCTAATGTAATAGGCATTTTCTCACATGAAATCCCTTCTTATGAAGTTCTTATCCTGTGGTGAATATTTATTTATTATGTTTTAAACATTAGACAGTGAACACACACTAATTTCACTCAGCTTTTTAAGTATGTCTCATTGTTTTCCTTTATTTGGCTGTATGAAGCAAAGGGATGATTCTGGCTGGTGTTTCTCACTGAAGATGGGCACAGGGGAAAATATCTCTTATTTGGGGTCAGGTCAATTGAAGATCCTGCCCATGGGGTTTGGTTTTCCAATGTCAAAGTTTACAAAGAGAATCCAAAAAAAGTTGTTACATAAATTGTCTAAGAGTACAGTAATTGAGAAACGATTCCAAAACAAAGTTAATAGTCAGAAAAGTTTATAATAAGAGAAGCAGCAGCCTGGGTAGATTTTGATGATATAGTACTTAATGGTTGCTATTAGTATTTCAAATTCTCACTTGTGCCCTTTCCCTTGGACAAGCTGAATTTTCTTAAATAGAGTAGCTATAAGGATATGTAAACTATATAAGGGCAGCAATAATAAATCTCCCTTTTCTCTGATGCCTTACAACCCACAAGGGTGTATGGCACATAGTAGGCTCAAGAAATGTATACTGAGCTAGAAAGAAGACTCTCCAAGAGTCTTTTTGGCTCACAGATGCAATCTAGCCATAGGGCTCCTTGCATTTCCCATTCTGCTTCTTTCTTTTGTTCTCAGCAAGGTTTCTCCTAGATACACGTACAGAACAAGATTAGACTAGAAAAGGTTAGATACATGTTCTCCCAGCTACAGGTTAGACTAGAAAAGAAATTGATATGCTGATTGAATCTGGCAAAGGAGGTCATAGGTAATATCCTCTAAAGCAATAAGAATGATATTCTTTATTACTGGTAAATTGGGTTTGGAAAGAAAAGTTCTGGAAACACTTGAGGAATGGAAGCACTATTGGAACATCACTTTCTAGTAGGTTATATAAGAACTAATGCATGGGGTCAGGGATTTAGCTCAGTGGTTCTGCCACCTGCCTCATAAGCACAAGGACCCGAGTTTGATCCCTGGTACCCCCGCCAAAAAAAACTCAAAAACCAAAAAACTAATATATTCATTAAAAACACATTTTCTTAAGAGCTTCATCAGCCTTTAAATTTTTTTAATAATGCTGGAAAAATGCAAAGGAAGTATCCACTGGCAACTGCAGTTTACTTGTATGAGGCAAGAGTCAAGATTAATGATTGAGATAGCAAAACTTTATATTATGGATTTAGGATATAGCTTAGTGATCCTTATTGTTTTTCTTAGTAGATATTGAAGGCAAAACATGACATCATAAAAATAAAAATATGCTCAGATATTTTTAAGACTGGTAAGCATCAAATGATTTTTTGCTCTAAGATGTCAGTGCTGTTTTAATACCAAGGAGATGTCTGCCTCCCCTAACAGAAGGCTATACAAGGAAAGGTACTAGAGTATATTTAGAGCCTAGTACAGTGTTGGGAAGAGTAATCTTAAAAAACTGTAACAGTTCATAGAGTCCTCAACTTTAATTTTCTATAAATCATTCTGATCTTAATATTAAGCCTTGAATATACTTAAGGGGAAACAACATTATCTTATTTAATTCTGGGTTTTCCTAAGGCATTTCTGCTTTGTACTTGTTCACTTCTCTATTTTTCTCCCACCATTCTTTCTTCTCAGAGGGAACAATTACCTTGTGCATATATTTTGCTTTAGCATCTCAGTGAGAATAGTGACATGTAATATTGTATATCTCTGCGCTGAGAACCCTTTCTGGTGGTACATTAAGACTCAGTGACTATTGGAGGATTGAATGACATTGGTGAAGTGAGGGGAGACCTGGGGGAAAGCACTGTGG